TAATCATGGATCTTATGTGTTGTAGACCATTTGGTGATTTGGTTATTTTGGAGCTTGCATTTTGTGCATGTGGATACAGACTTGTGTGTACTGGATCATCTAGTTGAAGTTTCTCATACCAGCAAATAATGCTATCTTTTTGTGATTTGTGTGTTCTGGGTGATTATTAAGATGGTAAAAACTATGCTTTGTCAAGATTGATGTGTTTGTCAACTTGTGTTCAATGTATATGAACGTTTGTGAATATATTTCATTGTTGTACAATATGTGTTCATCTTGAACCTGCTTCTGGATGTGGGGATAATAATTGAATCTGTTTAGAGCTTGTATATATTGTTTGGCTGCACATCACTTTACCAGCAATTTATTAGTCGGCAAAAGCACTATCTGTCAGTGTAGGTAGGGCGTATGTTGATAGACTATTTGTTGGCATAGATATGGTGTACGTGGCTAATAAAGTGTCGGCTTAGGTAGGGTATATGTGGACACGCTATCTGTTGGCATAGATAGGGTGTATGTTGTCTGATAAACTGTCGGCATATGTAGGGTGTATGTGGACATACCATCTGTCGGTGTATGTAGGGTGTATGCTGACTGAAAATGTGTTGGGAAGTAAATAACTGTCGGCAATACCTTTGCCCACAGCAAGTCCTCCGACTCTTTCATCTTCTGTCAGCATTGGTGTTAGCTACAACTTAACTGTCGGCAAAGGTACCCTATGCCAACACATTGGTGTGTCACGGAAGCTCTACCGTGGTGTAGTGTAATCATCATCAATTTTGTTACGCAAAGCACCCTTCACAATCTTCATAACTGAAAAACATCTGTCAACATTGGCAGTGGTTACAGGGAGAGTCAATGCTAGCTTCAAAAGCCAACATACCAATGATAGGAGAGATGCTTCCTTGTATCCACCGTCGGTTTAGCCAAATCACCTATTTTGTCCAAAGCTAGAAAACATTGTATCATGGAGTATATTATCTATGTAGAGACCAAGTTCGTGTTCAAGAGTCACCATATTTTTGTGATTAAAAATCATCAGGATAAATCTTGGCTAATTTCAGCAACATTTCCTTGTCAAAATGGCAAAGTAAATCAGTTGGGCTCAAAGCAGACCTGTTGGTGGTGATGGTGTCGTCCCTTTCTTTCTAACTGTAAAAATTCCGAGAGAAAGCATCCTAGTAGTAGCAGACTATCAAGCCAGCAGACAAGTGAGAGTAATAGAATGGTTTGCCGGATTGAATTGCATAGAAAATTCCAGAATGGTACTACAAGTTAAGCTACCGGTAGTGTGCCACACTAATCCTACAATTTATGGTTAGAACCAACAGTACATGCCTGATAGAGTACAAGTACGGATTGCATATTTTCACTTGGTTTGACAGAAAACACAAAGAAATCAAATAAAAAATAAGGACCGGAGAGATCCAGGCAAACCAAATCGAGAAGTACCTGTGTTTCTGTTTGCCTATGGCAGTTTCGGAGTTGGGATGAGATTGAGATTAATAAAGCTTGGGGATGGGCACTTGAGCAGAAGTTGCTGCTGCTGCAGACCGGACCTACGTAGACCAGCGCTCGTGCCGCGGCGGCCGGCGGCAGGGCGGGCATCAGCCGGCAGGCGAGTGGGCAGCCGCAGAGCCACGATCGACCAATCCTCAAAGTGGCAGTGCGTGGTGGCTGACGGTTCACTTCTTGGTTTAATCGATTTTCTAGCTATTAGCCTGTTCATTAATTGATTGATCTCCGAGAGTCGAAGAGGCAAGCAGTAGCCAATTTCTCCTCGTGTTCATCGCTTTGTTGAAGGACACGCATCTCTTCATTTTTCTCGATTTGGTTTGCTTTTTTATGGGCTTTACGGAGAAGGGCCGATGGGGAGTGGGGGCACCAGCTCTTGCGTGACCGGGGGCCTGCTGGCTGGATCGGGTGTTTATACCGGGGCGACAGGAAATTGAGTGGGGTCCTGGGCCGCCGCTCGTCACAACGTTCGTCCGCCCCTGGTTACAACGTGTGCGGTTTTAGGTACCCCAGTAGCTCCTGCTCAAAAATGTGTGGCTGTGTGCTCACAAGGGACCCCACATGTCCCAGTGAATACCCTAACCTCAACCTTCTCCCCAGCTCAGCTGGTACGTAAACCCAAGTCACTCTCTGTATGTTCTCTATATTATTTTGCTCCCAGATGGAAGTTGCACTTAAGGTTGACTAATGCTTGCTGCTGCTGGTGCGGAAGAAGAACCAGATGCCGTTGAGTACTGCAGTTTAGGATGTAGCCTCTCAGTCTGTGACAACGTCAATTCAGGTAGTATCTTAATTAATTCATCATCTGTATATATACTTTCAATTGATCATAAGGGGAAAAAGTTTTTTTTTTTCGGTTTGGAATGAACATTGCACATATCTTGATCTTGTCATCAGCTGAGCTTGGCGAAGACATGAAAGTCGGCGTGGGGCGCTGCGGCGATGCGTGCGGACGGTTCTGCAACGATGCCAACATCGCATCCGTTGATGCTTGATCATGTATGAGAACGCGCTGAGATCCCGGTGGCTTACCTTCTTCGTCGTTGCTGCTGCCTTAGCCGCTATCTAGTTCTTGCTTTAGCTATGATATGTTAGGCTTTGCTGCCAACTGCTGTATGCTGTGTCTGAAATGCTGTGTGGGTGCCCCGGTTCAGCTGGTGTGTGCTCTGCTTCTATTTTGGGATCTTGCATGACCCTTTGAGGTGCTGGGCTGGGGTTCGTCGTGATCCCCGGTCATGTAAGATAGTATGTCGTGTGTTGGGTAACAAAAACTCTACTAGTAGCTGTGAACCTTGGTTTCTCTTAATAAAATCGGAGAGGGAGGCTTCTCTTTTGATGAAGAAAAAAATGCACCGAGATCCCACGTCGATCCTTTATGTATATCTGTACATACTTGAGGAGGTTCCTCCGTGAGTTCCAAAAATTTACTTCGTTCATACTCAGTAAAGGAGCACCTCTAAACTTTATCTACTATTCCCTCCGTTCACTATTATAACATGTTTTGAATATTCTAATATGGACTAAATATGGACTGAAATGAGAGAACAAACACACTAAAATACGGTTATATACATCTGTTTCAGAAAAAAAGTTAGAACATCTTATAACGGTGAACGGAGGGAGTAGTATTTGGTAAACCGGAGAGGCTCCGATGATTGCCTTAACTTATTATATGTATCTACATTGGCCACAAAGCCACATCATCTTGCGCTACCCAGCTTAGATCACAGGGAGCACCAAAACCATTCTCAACACTAGCACCATATGGCACCACCAGCCATTCCGCCGAACTACTTCGCTCACGGTTCCTGCATCGACTTCGTCGTACAGAATCGCACGGCGTCAGAGACTGCGAGGAATATATGACTGCTTCCAATGTGCTCGGTGAGCTTGGATGCTTGCAGTTTTTCTATGACGACGGAACCAGGATTTGACAGAATGAGCTGCCAAAACACACAATACAAAACAACATTATCAGCTGCCCTGTGAAACAAGATTATAGTTTTCTGAAAGTGTGTGTAGCTTGAATGGGTGTACCTGCATATCTCTTTTCTGAAGATTCTTGTACAGATCTTCAAGAGCATGTATGCCGCTTGTATCGATGTCGATGACCGCTGCACCAGCATTTTTCACCGGACTGCATTAGTACAATGATTGAAAAAAATAGTTTGGAATTTCTCAGGCCAAGATATAATTCTTCTACTTACGCGACATTTCCACAATCAAGAAACTGATTTTAGGCAGTCCCACTGCTTTAGCTCTGTCTTCTTCGTCTGTGAGCCACCTAAGAATTCTGCCATGGAGCACCAGATGTCAGGCCTATGAGGCTGAAATTACCAAATTCATGTGTATTTTATCATACTTCAGATTCAGAGCATAATGTGTGATGAATTTGCCATCTTTACCTTTCTCGGACGTAATTAGAGTTGGAAAAATAAATAGCAGAATCAACCCTCACAATCACCACCCCGGGAGTAAGTTTTGCTTCTGGATATTGGCTGATGTTCCTGTATATAGTGGTGCCGGGAAGGTTTCCAAGTAGGGCTGTCCTTGGCCTTGTTACTTGAAGAAGTATTTTGGCAAATGAGATTGCTACCTGGTAATACCCAGAAAAAACAAGTTCTAGTTATGTCTCCACAGAAAGACATGAAAATATTATTATTCTTCATCAAAGATAATGCTTTGGTCCTTACAGCAATCAAGAGGCCAATCTCAACGGATACAAAAACAACACCGAAAAAAGCTCCCATGCAAGCAATGAAGTCCAATTTGTCAACTTTCCAGATGAGAATTGCTGCTTCATAGTCCACAAGGCCGATCACCGCAGAAATAATGATCGACCCTAGGATTGCATTTGGTGTGTATTTTGAATAGCGGTGTGATGACCAACAAGGTAAGAAGAACCACCACTGACATAACCACATTGGATACAGGAGTCTTGCAGCCAGCCATGAAGTTAACTGCCGAACGTGAGAAAGAACCTGAAAAAGAAAATACAGGATATAGATTTTGGCACTGTATTTTCCAGACAGTTTACTGTCAGCTCTGTTCGGCGAAAAAGGGTGAAGCTACCTGTTGTGACATAGCAAGATGTCATTGATCCTACTATGTTCGTGGTTCCAAGTGCTACCATCTCCTTGTTTCCATCTAGCTGGTAGTCCTTCATAGCAGCAAATGTCCTTCCAATAGCTACAGCTTCCTGATGAAGTAGTCACGCACAGATTGATGAGAAATCTGGAGATGCACATGACAGGAAAAACAAATACGTGTTCATATCAGAATACATACTGTCAAACCAACTATGCCGCAAACAACACCGATCTTGAAGCCTTTTGCGACAAATGGACCGGTGAAATAAATCTTGTGTACTGATGATGGGTTGATTCCCTGTTCAATGTGCTTTACCTGATAACCAAGTGACAATTTTTTTTTCATCCATGACAAACAGTGTATGGTCCACACAACTGAGCCTGAATTTTACTGACTTAGTCACTTACTATCTGAACACCTTGCTTGTCGGCACGAGTAATGTATACAAAAAATGTTGCTAGAATCACTGATATTATAGGAGCAATAGCTGGCACCCAGAAAAGCTTCCTATTCTTCTTTCCCTGTGTAAATCAAACATCCTTAGTGGATGAAATAAATTTTTAAAATGTTAAATGTGTTGTAAAGGTACAAGGAACAAAGAATCCTTACGATATACTTCGCAAACAGAAGGAAAACCAGGAAAGATACACCAATCACAATTGTCTGCCAGTTCCACTGCATATATATACAAGCATCTCCTTGTTAGTACTCTAGATAACTCAGACAGACAGTAGTACTATCTTAAGCCTATGCTAATCCCTTCCTGGCGCGGGAAGATCCACAAAAAGGAGGGGAACAAATTCACCTGCCCACTTCCAAATGAATATAAAGATGAGCTCCAAAGATCCAAAAACAATTCAGCACTTGCAAAAATATTTTTTTCCCCACATAAGTTATTTCCATATCGACATGGCATGATGTACTTCTATTAATAATGAAAATGTTTTTAAGTTCTAGGAATTACAAATATGCTCTTATAATTCCAGAAAATGCAGTGCATGATGTTCTGATCAAGATATAAAATCGATATGTTACTGCTAAGTATATGAGATATGTACCCCATGATGAACTGATCTCCAGACAGATTCCATAACAGAAACTATGTCGGTTTTCCTTGTAAAATTTGCGATGCCCAACACGTATTTTAGCTGCTGCAGGGCAATAGTAATGGCAGCTCCCCCCATGAATCCGACAATTGCAGCATGTGACAAGAACTCTATAAGGAACCCTAACCTGAAAAAAAAATTACCAACTCTTAGTCCAACGCGTGACATTATGTGCAAGCTTTTAGTATATGTTTGCATATACCTTAGAAATCCCAAGGCTGCTTGAGTGATACCAGCGAAGAAGGTTGCCGTGAAAGCAAGGCGCATGTATTCCTCCTTGTTTTTGACATGGTCAACCTCAGCTTGTAGAAGTGAACCTATCAAAAGAGAAACCACAGCAACTGGACCGATCGCTATATCCCTTGAGCTACCCATTGCAGCATATATCAATGGGGGAATGAAGCTGGAGTCTGAAACCAACTAACAAAAGTAAATTATGATAGCAAAACAAGCTTAAATGTTTCGCATCAAATCTCCGCAACAGAATCAAGAGGAGTAACTTACAAAGCCCATACTGCAGGTCCAAATTAGCAAGCTTCGAATAGCCAATGTCCTATTAGAGTCCATCATTCAATGTCAGGCACAGTTTAAGTGGTCAAAGCCAAGGTGGACCAGTCATCCTTGATGATACCTGAGGAATGCAGAGGCTTGCGATGGTCAACCCGGCAATCAGATCTCCTTTGAACTTGCTGAGACTGTAATCCCTGCCCCACCCAAATATTGGAAACAAGAACTCCAGCCCCATCATGAACCTCCTAGGTCCGGATTGGCCCTTGTACTGACGCAGCGGGTTGTCGTGGAAGAAAGTCTCTCTCAATGTTTCTGTAAACTCCATGGCCAAGTTCTTCGGAGGGGGATAGCCCACTTTGTACACCAGCGGTGCTTGAGATGGGTCATTGGAGGGTGTCTGTGTGGTGATGCCAGGTTCATCTGCTGCCTCGTCAGATATATGATGGACCATCTCTGCTATTCGAACAACTTTTTGTTATCCTGGAGAAACAGTTGAGTTAATTTTAGTAACTGGAGTGTGCATGGAGGTTAGACGTTTACAGTACTTCAACATTGCAAAAATTATAACCATATAAACACCACCAAAATGACATCACGAAACGATGACCCTTACATGCATAGAAACTATCGATATTTATCATGTTTAATGGTTTTATCTTTTTTTCTATCTTAACATAGAATGAATCTGAACTTAATTTTTTTATATTGCTAGTAAACTGATAAGTATGTAAACTAATTTTGTCGTGACTAGTTTGCGTACTAGAAAGAGATTGAATCAGCAGTATGTTGGTGGAGGACAGGTTATCCTGAATTTTCGTTTTGGGAGAAATATAGGCGATGCTTATTCAAGATGAACACATACCTTGAGCTCGGACAACTAGCAGGTAAATCTTTTCATACGAGGAGCTAAGAATGGCAACAGTGAATCCATATTATGATATCTTCGAAATAGAAAAATCTATTTGATATTTGATGCTCACTCTTATATAGAATAACCATATGTTTCTCCCAACTGTCCCATTCTAACAGTAAAAGGAAAAACGAGAAGGTTGATTGTATTGTTCAGCTCAGTGTGAATAGCAGATAATAATGGTGGACTGTTGTTTCTTGTAAGCACAAGATTTTGCGGTGTTGGTCTGAAAGTCCAACGGGCTTATTCAAAAAGCAATAATTCGTGCAGAAAGTTCCAGCTATTCTCTTTGAATCCTGACCCAATGGTAATAGATGAGAAACTAATAATATTAATAAAAGCCAAATGAGTCAAGTTTGTGCCTAGGTGAGATAGTCCAACTAAGATGACAGAAAATACTCCATACTGTACATCTGTAGAATTCTCCAAATCAAAGCTGAGACAGAGCAGACAGATAAACAGAGGCAGTTGTTTCCAAGTGAAGGGATTGATTTATCAATTATTATTATATCTAACTAAAGAATACTACTACAAAATTCGGTAACCTTAATCTTCTTACTTACATGAGCAGTGACTGGTCACCATTCCACCTAAATGGGTCCCAATTGCTAAGAAAGAAGCTCTAACCATGTTTATTTTCAGAAAACCTAAGTAGTGGTGCAGAATTATATAATTCGACGAGCTATTGAACACTCCCCCCTCCCGACCCCTCCCGCGTCGCCCCCGCGAGGCGACGGGGAGGGCGACCAGATCTCGTCGAGCGCCCCCCTCCTCCTCCTCTTCCCCTGCTCCGCCGCCGCCAGAGGGCACGGCCGGGCAAAGCCCGACCGGTGCCGGCGGCGGCGGGGCGCTGGCGTCCTCCTGCTCGAGGGGGCTGCGCGGGCGTGCTTCTTCGGGCCGGTGCGTCGCGCGGCGGTGGGCGCGACGGCGCTGCGTTGTGCGGGTGTGGTGGCTCCGCGTTCTGGCGACGGCGGCGCGCTGGTGGAGCCTGCGTGGCGGGCACTGCGACGGCGGGGCGTGCCCGGGCTGCAACGGCCAGATCTGGCCGCCGGGCGGCGCGGGCTGTGGGGGCGTGGGCTGGAGGCCGTCCTGCTGGCTGGCGGCAGAGGCGGCTGAAGGCGGCGACGGATCCTGCTCAAGGTGCGGCCTTCGTGGCTGCGGTGGGCGGCGGATCTGACGTGGCGCTGGCGGTGCTGGTGGTTGCGGGCGAGCCGGGTTCCGGCCAGATCCGGCTGGATTTATCGCCGGGGACCCGGCTGGTGGCGCAGGGCGGTGGCCGGAGCGCGTCCTGGTCGCGGATGCTGGCCTGCTCTGGCCAGGGTGTGGCGGCGCGTGTGTGGTGGTGGTGGCGGCGCAGAGTGGTGGCCGATCTGGTGGCTGCGTGGCCGACGGACTCAACGGCTGGAGTCCGGCGGGCGGCGCGGGATGGGCAGTGGCCTGGTGTGGCTGCTGCTCCGGCCGTGGAGAGATCCACGGTAGCTTGGCATGTCGGCTGCGGCGGCGGCTGACATGTTTCGGCGTCGGTTCGACCGTAGGTGGCGTGTGGCGGCCTTCGATTCCTCTCCCCGTCGCCCATGCATCACTTCCGTCGAAGGACTGGGCTTTTCTCAGTTGTGGTACATCGCCCGTCTCGCGCCCGGAAGCAGGACCGCGCCCGTCTCGCGCCTGGCAGCAGGACTGCGCCTGTCTCGCGCCCGGTTGCAGGACCGCGCCGCCTGTCTCGCGCCCGGCAGCAGGACCGCGCCCGTCTCGCGCCCAGCGGCAGGACCGCGCCCGTCTCGCGCCCGGCAGCAGGACGGGCCGATGGTGGCCAGTTGGGGGCAGCTCAGGGGTGCAAAAGGCGCGTCTCTATAGGTGGTGTGGCGCTGGGTAACTGGTGAGGTGGCGTCGAGGTCTTGGATTCCGGAGTGGCGGCCCCGGTGGTGGTGTCGCGGTGCTCATGGGCAAAGCCCGTGCCTTGGTGCTGCCCGGTGACCATGGTCGTGTGGGCGGCATGGTCACCGGGGTGTGACGTTCGGTGGCGGTGAGTATGGGCCGGGGTGAAAACCTATCCTATCTTCGGACGGACCGGTGGCGGCGAAGCTCGCTCCCTTCCTGAAGGCGTCGTCGCGGCCATCATTGCCCGTCGTGTTGCTCTAGGGGAAACTCTGACTCTCGGGTCGGGCGGTGGCGGCGCTCCGGTGTCGTTTCCTTCCTGAAGGCACCGCCTTGGAGCCCACGGTTCGTCATATACGGCTTCATCTCTTCGCGGTAGCGTGTTCACGGGCGAGGACCCCGCTGCTCTTGTAGTGCTTGGGGTTGTGTTGCTGCACTCAGCACTTATGTATCTTGCCTTGGGTGTGTGCGTGTGTTGTGGTGGCGTGCGTTTGTACCGGGTTGTTGTTGGTTGATGCTTTATATATAAAGCGGGGCGAAAGCCTTTTTCGGTAATTAAAACCTAAGTAGTAATATTTTCAGTAGAATTTTCATTCTCGGCTAGTTTCATTAGGCTGCGGATGGAACCAAGAACGCTTGGTCGCAGCTTACTTGCATGATTCAAAGATAATAGTGGTGGACCGTTGTTTCTTGTAAGCACAAGACTTTCCGGTGTTGGTCTGAAAGTCCAAGCAGGCTTATTCAAATAGCATAATTGGTGCAGAAAGTTCCAACTATTCTCTTTGAATCCTGACCCAATGGCAACAGATGAGCAATAATACTATTAATAAAGCCAATGAGTCAAATTTGTGCCTAGGCTGAGATAGTCCAACTAAGATATCAGAAGATACTCCATAGTACATCTGTAGAATTCTCCAAATCAAAGCTGAGACGAAGAGCAGACAGATGAACAGAGGCAGTTGTTTGAAAGTGAAGGGATTGGTTTATTATAATCTAAAGAATACTGCAAAATTTGACAACCTTAATCTTCTTACTTATGATGAGCAGTGACTGATCACCATTCCACCTAAACGGGTCCCAATTCAATTGCTAAGAAAGAAGTTCTTACCACATTTATTTTCAGAAATCCTAAAACATAAGTAGTAGAAATATTTTCAAAAAAAAGAAATATTTTCAGAACAATTTTTCATTTTCGGCCAGTTTCATTAGGGTGTGGATGGAACCAAGAACACTTGGTCGCACCTTACTTACAGGATGCTAACGACGAGCCAGCTGAAATTTTTGTGAGACATTTAATCAAGTACTCACGAAGCATACTCGCTGACACAATAACGCACAAAAGGTATCGGTGAATTGCCGGTTTCTCATCCATTAAAAAAGGGATGGATACACTGCTGATTTCCGAGCAGAGGAACTAATGGCGAAGTTATCAAAAAATCGAACCCCAGCGTGCAGTCGCAGTCGTAACAGACGAAATGCGACGAGTTGTACAGAAAATAAAGAACCAAGAACGACTGAAGGGGAGGGGAGAAGATGCTCATGGATCAGAATCATCGGATGAAGAGATTTTACCGGATATACAGTGGTTCCTGTGATCGGTCGACGGAGCCGCCGCGCGCTCAGGGTTCACCGGCCCACGAATGGCGCATCCCTCTTGGCGCTGGCGCGGCGAGAGCGGGTATATACGCCTTCTGGAGGCACCAGGAGGATCCGCCTGCCGGGGAAACAGACGCGCCCAACGGACAAAAGAGCGGCAATGGAAGGTAGCGCGATCTCTGCTGGTAGTTGTTTATACACCACGGAGTCGGGAGACGAGGGAAGACGGCGACGTGGACGTGGACGTGCGGAACCAAAATGGCTGGGAAGTCGCCGCGGGCTCCACGGCCGTGGAACCGGGGCCGTCCTACGCCGGTCGGTCAACGGCGCCGCGGTCAGGGTCTACGGGGACCAACGGCGGCGAGGGAAGGATGATGGGTTTTCAGTGTTTGGACCGTGGAATAGTGGTCGGGAGGACGAGAGGTGAAGTGAACCGCGTGTGAGGCAGGGGACAAGTGAAGGTGACTTACGACAACCACCTGGCCTTTCCTTACGACCGGAAGGTTAGGTGGCCGAGTTACACGAAGACCGCGGCCGTACTTCAATTCGGCTTCATGTGTCTGCAAGTCCTGTGTAGGTGGTGGAGTCGCGAATCCTTGTTGCGAACCTGAAGCGTAATTGTAGGCGTATGGTTGTGACTCTGCGGGGATAAAAGATGGACCAATAACGTCCCTTCCGAAGAACTCTGTAACTAATGATGTAACCGTATTGCCATGATCATGTGAAGCTCCCCGGAGGCCTGTGTTGACGCCATGATCATGTGATGCTCCCCGGAGGCCTGTGTTGACGCCACGTTGGGTGTTCTCATCGTCCCAATTAACATCAAGTATGTCCTGCACATAGAAACATTTTAAACAAACTGTTAGAGGATAATATATGATATCATTGTAAATGCATTGAAATGTAAACATGACTACCTGATTATATCTCTCTCCTATAGTGTCTGGCCATTGTACGTGGTGCTGGTTTAAATCTGGTATACGAGTCTCCTCGGGCATGGGGATCCCCGTGTGGAGAGATATGGCTGAGATCCCTCACCTTGGGTGTATGCATCATATCCTGTGTACACA